TAATTAGTGTTACTCTCATGTATGTATATATGCAATAGATTTCTCCTGTCTTCTGTTCTATATGTACCATGAATATTAACACTATTTCATTTGTGTTCATTCACTTTACACGTAATTTTAAAAGTTCTTTTGACGTTTTGTTTTCTGTTCTGGATTTTTGTTTTCTGGACTCTTGTCCAGAATTTCTGTTTTCTGTATTCTTGTGATTTTTTTTTTTCCATAGTTACCTTTTATCCTAGAGTATTTTGAGTGTAGTATTTTTGCATAGCTTCTTTCAAAGTTATGTCCTTCATTACGTAAACACTACATTCCCTTTATTGATGGCGTTTTACAAATTCACAGGAAGTGTAGAAGCCACTGTTCCATTCAGGCCTTCTTATTCTCTGTTTATAACACGGGTTAAGTGTTTGCTATGCATGAATTTTGAACCAAATTTCATGCTTCAGTTTTTACTTTCATTGCTTAAATGCACTTTCAAAAATTCAAAAGGAGAAGAAACATCATTATATTATATTTTGACAGGGTATTATCCTTATTTTACTATTTATTTATTTCCTTTTTGGCTTTTTGAGGCAGGGTTTCTCTGTGTGACAGTTCTGGCTGTCCTGGAACTCACTTTGTAGACCAGGCTGGCCTCGAACTCATTGAGATTCTCCTGCTTCTGTCTCCCGAGCGCTGGGATTAAAGGTGTGAGCTGCTACCACCCAGCCACTTTTTATTTTCTATTTAAAGTTCTGAATTCATACATTGGTGCTGGCTATACATCATCCCCACCCTCTCCCTCTTTCCATCCTCCATCTCCTCCCTATCAAGTTCATAACTTCTTTAATTATTATTTTATACATGCACACACACACACACAAAACCTATGGAGTCCATTTAATGTTCCCATATGTGTGTGTTTAGGGCTGACAGCATGGAATTAGATAACTTATCCGGGGCTCATTCCTGAAGAAAACTGATTCTGGTATTTCAGCAGCCATAAATTGCCTATAGCTCTTCCTCTAGGGGTAGGATCTTGTGAGATTTTCCTCATACCCAGTGGCATCTCAACTGATGCCGTCATTCTTCGGGACTTGTTTAAGTGACCGTTATTTTTTAGCTCATGTGGATGCATCTTCTCTGTTAAATATGAAGGAGACTATCTCACAGTCCTTTGGCTCTGTTCCCTTAGGTGTGGGGATTGTTATAAATATACCAGTTGGCATTGGTCAGTTGTTTTCTTCTGAAGTTTGACTAGCTATGGATTTCTGTTGTGTTCTCCATCTGCTGCACAAAGAAGCTTCTTTGATGAGAGGTGAGAGCTACACTTATCTCTCTCTAGGTATAGGATAAGTATTCAGAATGCAGCTAGGGATTGTACCAGTTTAGGAAAGTATCAGTAGGAAATGCTCCTCTAGGGGCCATGACTTCAGCAAGGTGGTTGGCTGTGTTTACAGTATCAGAATGAACTCCCCCCTCCTAAGCTTGCTTTTTCCAGTTTGACAGCTGTTGGTTACCCCTATGATATAAGAGGCACTACTGCATCTTTGGAGATGTCTTCCTGTGCTGTGTGTTGTTGTCCGTAGGCCTCACAGTTGGGTAGGTCTGTTGACTTACTCTTTTCCCTTGTTTGCTCGCATCACATCTTCAGTTACTGTAAGAGCTAGTCCGCAGAGAAGGGGTTTCTAGATCCAGTTCTCCAAGTTCTATGTCCTGTGTGGGTCTTCAGCGAACAGAATCTTACTTCAGTTTTTGGAGGCAACCAAGGGCCTGTATGGTTTTGTGAGTCTCTTGGAATCCCCTGACCAACAACTCAAAGGAAGGCTTTCCATGCCTGATATGTTAAGATTTTAAAATGTTGCTCTTATATGTGTGTCTAGTCACCGGCACCACATGTGTGCAGTGCTCACACAAGTCCCCTGGAATTAGAATTACAGACAGTTCATGGCTGCCGTGCGAGTGCTGGGAACCGAACCTGGGTTCTCTGAAAGAGCAGGAAGTAGTGACTGCTACGTCACCTCTCCAGTCCTGCTACTGAGGGGTTCATTAGATAGTCTGCGTATTCCATGGTGTTACAACTTTCACTTGGCTGTTTATAGTCTCAAAAAAAATCAATTGGAGAAAGTCCATGTATTTATGGATTTTTTATTCTCTTCATTTTTGTTGTTTCTGTTACTCTATTTCTTTTTCAATTTAAATTCTTTTTCAGTTCTTCCCTCCCTCCCTCGTTTAGTTTTTCCAACTATTGTGTGTAGCACAGGCTTGCGTATGCCAGAGGACAACTTACCGGAGTTATTTCTCTTCTTCTGTATGTGTCTAGAACTAGAACTCTGGTCTTCAGGCCTGACAGCCAGTGCTTTTGAGCCTCCTCACTGGCCCTCAGTTGAGAGAATGCTTTAAAGCCAGTCTTTAAGTTTGTTTGATCAGTGATAATTTTAAACATTTTTTTCCTTTCATATTATGAGAGTTGTCTTGCTCCTTATGCTTGAAAACCATGTTCTCTGCATAGGGGTTTTTAGCTTCAGTTCTAATACTATGGCTGCCTGTTCTGTGGTCGCAGTGGGAATATGGTTGATAGTTCCCACATTCTTTTTTAGTTCGAGCTTCAATTTCTCAAGTTGCTTTCAAATGTTTTTGTTAAATATGACGAGTCTTGACCCAGATGGATGTATTTGGGGTTTCTCGACTCAAGATGTCTCTGTCTCCTGCCAGGCGTTAGTTCTAGCCATGGTTGGTTGGGTTCTGTTTTAGCCATCTTCTTTCTGGCTTATTTCTTAGGTTGCTGCAGCACTGTCGGATTATAGCCCAGGCCCCACGGCTTCCCTTCTTCCCGGGCTCTGCTTCCGGTTCTCTTTTCTGTTCTGCTGTTAAACCATTCACAAGCTTTTACCCCAGTTACTATATTTTAGCTCTGAAATTTCCATTCCGTTCTTTTTGTTTGTTTGTTTAAATTTCTATTGTCCATTTTACGTTTATGGGTGTTTCACCTGCATGTGTGTCTTTCCAGAAGAAGGCAGTGGAAAGGGCTCTTCCGTGTACATGGTAACTAGATCTGAACCCAAATTAAAGGCAGATGCTAGCATGCCTTCCTGGCTGTTGGAAATTTCCAATAAACTAGAAAGTAATTAAATCCTAAGTAGATTTCAAAAAAGATTCCATAGAATAATTTCTTTTCTAAGTACAATTTATCTGTGAATGTGTGACCAAATACCTGAGAAGAAGCAACTTAAGAGAGGGTTTGTTTTAACCTATTGCATGAGGGGACACTGTCCACGTGACAGAAACTTACTGCATGGGGGACACTGTCCAAGTGACAGCCTTACTGCGTGGGGGACACTGTCCACGTGACAGAAACTTACTGTGTGAGGGGACACTGTCCACGTGACAGAAACTTAGTGTGTGAGGGATACTGTCCGCATGACAGAAACTTACTGTGTGAGGGACACTGTCCACATGACAGAAACTTACTGCATGGGGGACACTGTCCGCGTGACAGAAACTTACTGCATGGGGGACACTGTCCACGTGACAGAAACTTACTGTGAGAGGGGGGACACTGTCCATGTGACAGAAACTTACTGCGTGGGGGACACTGTCCGCGTGACAGAAACTTACTGCGTGGGGGACACTGTCCGTGTGACAGAAACTTACTGCATGGGGGACACTGTCCACGTGACAGAAACTTACTGCATGGGGGACACTGTCCGCGTGACAGAAACTTACTGTGAGAGGGGGACACTGTCCACGTGACAGAAACTTACTGCGTGGGGGGACACTGTCCACGTGACAGAAACTTACTGCATGGGGGACACTGTCCACGTGACAGAAACTTACTGCATGGGGGACACTGTCCGCGTGACAGAAACTTACTGTGAGAGGGGGACACTGTCCACGTGACAGAAACTTACTGCGTGGGGGGACACTGTCCACGTGACAGAAACTTACTGCATGGGGGACACTGTCCACGTGACAGAAACTTACTGCGTGGGGGACACTGTCCGCGTGACAGAAACTTACTGCATGGGGGACACTGTCCGCGTGACAGAAACTTACTGCATGGGGGACACTGTCCGCGTGACAGAAACTTACTGTGAGAGGGGGGACACTGTCCGCGTGACAGAAACTTACTGCATGGGGGACACTGTCCGCGTGACAGAAACTTACTGCATGGGGGACACTGTCCGCGTGACAGAAACTTACTGCGTGGGGGACACTGTCCGTGTGACAGAAACTTACTGCGTGGGGGACACTGTCCGCGTGACAGAAAGCCTTCGCAGCCAGAATAGCAGGATACTGCTCACACTGGCATCCTCCTTCAGGAACCAGAGAGGTGACAGAAAGTGAGGCCTAGTTGCAGGAACTCTAGGGACTCACTCTTCTCCTTCATCCAGGTTCCACATCCTAACCTTCCATAACCTTCCAGAATAGTGCCACTGGCTGTTCAAACATGTTTGCCCCTGGGCAGCATTTCACAGTCCAACCACAACACACGCAGTCAGTTGTGTGTGTGAGGTGGGGGAGTTTCCGTTAGGACGAGAGATGACAATGGAACAGTGGGTACTAGTCTGTGCCACATTTTAACTCTTTCTTCCTCTGTTCTTGTGCTATCTCTTCTTTTGCTGCAGAGCTAGTACTGAAGCTTTGGTCTTTTCACAAACGTTCTTAGGAAGGAAGGGTGTGTATTGAGCTCAAGCTTTTGTGGACTCAAATAGATTATCCTCTTGAAAACTTGGTCTGCCTTTATTCCTTTTCCTTATGCCTTGGTTATTGACACCCCCCCCCCATTATTTTATGTTTTACTCTCACCTTAAAACAATCAAAAGTTAGGTGTTCATAATTGTGTAATGCTGTCAAGAACTTAGTTTATTCAAAATGGCTATGAAAAGTGTATAGACATTCATTGCGATATATACACTTTGGTGTGATAATTTTGGTGTGCAGTTTTATTTTATTTTATTTTGAAAGTTTTTTAAAAAGGAAAAGGTCGAGAACTTAATTCGGCTTTCTTTTCTTTACAGAAAGGGCAATTGCAAGACATGAAGTCCGGGAAATTGAACAGCGCCATACAATGGATGGCCCTCGGCAGGATTTGACACTAGATGAAGAAGATGATATAGTCATCATTTATAACAGAGTTCCCAAAACTGCAAGCACCTCGTTTACCAATATCGCCTATGACTTGTGTGCAAAGAATAGATACCATGTTCTTCACATCAACACTACCAAAAATAACCCAGTAATGTCACTGCAAGATCAGGTAACTACCATGTAGGGAATGCAAAAATGCTTTCTGGTATGTCCTCCAGTTTGGTATAGCAAAGGATGAACTGTTTTAAAGGGATGTGTATACTCTTCTCAGTGAATTGTAAGCAGGTTGTGTGGGGGAGGGGAGGCCCAACTTTTTTCCAAATTTATAATCTTCCTATTTTTGATGTATTTTCTTACATATAATCTATAGTGAAAAATTTGTGAAATAAGCAAACTGATAAATAGCTAGAAGTTTTAGACACAGTTTTGATATTCTTACATATGGAATTTCTTGGTTGTTGTTTTTTTGTTTTTATTTTTGAAACAAGCTTTCTCTATGTAGTCCTTGCTGTCCTGGAGCTCACTCTGTAGATTAGGCTGGCCTTAAACTCACAGAGATCCACATACCTCTGCCTCCCAAAGCTCTGGGACTAAAGAAAGGTGTGTACCACCACCACCCAGCATAAAATCTTTTTTGTTTTGTTTATTTTTAATTTGATGAGATGCCTGCCAGAAAAAGTTATTTTATTGTCTCAACTTAACGATGAGGAAGTATTAACTCAATACCTGTACCCACTTATTTACTAGCCTCCTGAACTTCAACTTCAGTAACTCATGTACATATTAACCATAAATGAACCTCCTAGAGAAAGATTCTGGGTGATGTCTTTATCAAAATCTTACCTTTTCATTGTTTTAGATGATCAAGTGGACAGGTAACTTCATAAAATGGTATTTTAAATAGAGATTGTTAAATGAAATCTAGTTTATTCATCTCTTCCAAAAGTAGCTTATATTTTCCATATACCTGCAGTGATGACTATAGTTATAAAGTTCTCATTGTAAATATTGAAGGCGAAGAATATTTGACCGTCATAAAGAGATTCTGAAATCCTAGGTAACCCCAGTGCTATTGGAGTAGCTTCATTAGATGGTATCTATTATAGTCTGATTGCAGCTGGGACTTGAGCTCTTTGGAAACAGCAGAACATGTTTTGTTATGGAACTGAGCATTTTCACACTGTTAACCTATCTATAACCCTTATACTACACAGAGAATAAAAAATAAAGATTTGGTTAAAGAGCTGGTTTTGAAGGCTAGTAGTGTGGTAGATGGCATATCATCTCCCATTCAATTTTTTTTTTTTTTTTTTTTTGCTGTCCATAGGATAATTTATTTTTCATAGAACCAAAAATGTATGTCTTTTAGCCAGATAATTTTCTGTAAATGAAAGGAAGCACACGATTTTTTTTTTAACAGTGTTGGTTATTTAAAAAAAAGAAAAAAAACCCACAGCACAATATTGTACATCTCAAGGGAAATGTCATTTTCACATTATGTGCAGTAGATTTGCATTGTTGCATTGCACAGCATACCTTGATTTAAACGGTTTAAATCAAATTTCCTCAGCAATATTTTTTAACGTGTTTGTTCGATTTTTACTTGTTTTGTGTCCAACCTTCTTCCAAAGTTCTGGCAGCTACAAGGCATCTGGCAGTGACATCCATGCTTTTATTTTCTCCATGAAATGTAAGTGTGGAGATGCTCCCCACACATGACATTTGTCAGCACCATAGCTACATTTCCAGTTGCATTTGGGTAGGATGCATCGTCTGCTTTCCTTGCAACAGCTTGGTGTTTATAGAGGAGAAGGCGGTGCTGGCCCAGAGCAGTGGGCTTCTGTAACAAACGGCACCGAGAGCTGGTTTTTGTAGGACACTTTAGGGAAGTAGTCTTAAGCAATAAATGACATACTTCAAATGTCAGCCAGTAATTCAAAGCCCGGTCCTAATTAGGAGTGGCTTATACAGATGTATCCTCCAGTACTGTGTATATAAAGATTTCTGATCTATGTAGAAGCCATTTTCTAAAAACAAGCCACGTTGGGTTTCCTTTCCTTAGCTTGGCATGTTTAGAGCGCTTTCCCTTGCAACCCAAGAAGCTTCATCTGAATGTAAACTTTTAACTATAATTTTAAAGTCAGTTTCCAAATAACCTATCTTCTCTACTATAGTTTTGTTTTAATGTCATTTTTGTTGTACTGGTGTACAATATTTAGCAAATTAAGCAGGAATTAAGGGTGGTTTTACTCTTCTCCAGTCAATGTCTGACTTTAGTGAATGTGCTATTGTACAGACATTTCATTTAAAGTTCTATTAACTCATCAGAAAGCTAGGGCTGTCTTAGGAAGCCCGACTCCCCTTGATCCTCATGTATCCAAATGGAGCTCTTCAGTCTATTGCAGTCCAACCCAGCTCATCCCACCCAGCCCAGATCTACACATCATATATGTGCTATATACTAGGCACTGTGTAAACTACTTACATGCTTAACTCCTTTTCTCACAGTTTAGAAGCAAAGCTCTAAACATGTTTCGTCCAATACAGAGCTGTCAGTGGTCACAACAGTGTCCTCCTGTGCCACCCTGGAAAGCCGCCGGCTTTGCTCTCAAGTGTCTCCTTTACCTTACTGAACATGTGGTATTTACATACAGAGATTGTGCCACATTCTTGGGGAGAAATGCCAACGAAATAAAAATGTCTCTCAAAGAGGGTAATTAAAACAGTACTGTGTGACAATCTCACCAAAATGCTGTATGTGGACATACCTGAAGAAAGCAGGCATCCATGTCATAGAACGTCCTGTGAAATAGCCCTCCTTGTCATTTCTACAGTTTCAGTGTTGTGACAACTGAAAAAGGACAAGGATCTAGGGCAGAGACTCAGACAACAGGAGTCTAAGAGGTGTGGAAAGCAAAGATGTGTGGTCTCTAATTGGTCCATGTTCGTGACTAATACACAACGTGGTATTTAAGAATGAAGAGTGCATGTGTGTATGTCTGAACCACATGGAGACAGCACACTGCAAGTTGCAATGTGTTAACAGTGAAGTATCTAAGTAAGTAGTTTGTAGAAGTGTTGTGGTACCATATCATTTTGACTTTTCCATAGTGTAGAGCTTGTTTGTTTTGGAGGAACACGAATCTGCATGAATATTTTACCTTATCTCCTGTCTGCAATGGAGCGGTTGGGACAGTGAAAATAGAAGGTTTTTAAAGAGGAGATTAATGGGATGGAAAGCACAAGAAAGTGCGTGATTAAAATGAAGAGACCTTTGTTAGAGTTTGGTTTTTGAGGTGACCTTTAATTCAGATGTTTAAAAAGAATTTTCAAGGGATGGAGAGGTAGCTCGATGGTTAAGAGTAGTGATTGCTCTTCCAGAGGGCCCAAGTTTGATTCCCAGCCCTCACATGGTACCTCACAACCCTCGGCAACTCCAGTTCCAAGGATCCAAGTCTCTCTTCTTGCCTCTGTGGGCATCAGACATGCATGTGGTACACCAGACACACATACAGACAAAACACTCTATACACATAAAAAATAAAAAGAATTGCAGAGAGAAACAGCTCTTCTCTTCTATTAAGAGCAGGAGGTGTGATTGGCAGTATCCTGTGTCGTCTTTCTTAAATCCATTCCGTTTATGTGCTTAAGTTGGCTATCTGTGACCCCTCTTGACCTAAACATTGGAAGTATCTAGCCCTATCGGACAACATGGTAAAATATTTCTGTTGTATATGCATGTGTGTTTCATTAACTTGCTCTCAAGCTGCCCTGTGCTCACTTTCATTAGAGCCTGTAGTTTGCTATGTGCTGTAGATTCTTCTTAGTGCAACGTGCTAGCTGAGCATTCACAACCTATTACATGTAAGCTAACATTGGTTAATATGCAGGTTCTTGCGCTGAAGGGCCAAATGGAGCCTGGTGTTCTGCATTTTTAAGACACATTTGATGCTACTATTTGAGGATCGGTGATTTAGAACAGTTCAGTGATATACACAGACATGCTGAGATCTTTCCAGAAAGTTTTATTTATTCTTAAATTCATGTTTCTACTTTCCTGACAGCATTCAGATGTGTCATCCAGTAGATGCCCTAGACTTTTGAATCATTGACTAAACCAGGCCTTTCTCTTCTTATCTTTTTGTGGAATAAATCCTCCTTCAGTTGTCTTCACGATATCCTTTTAGTGCTTCAAGTTAAATGGCAGGCCCTTGGACCTTGACTAGCCACCCTATGTTATATTAAATGTTCCTTCCAAAGTATCGGAACCACATCACTCCTAGTACTAATCAGTTTATAACAGTATGTTACATACTGGTTTCATTTCATTTTGTTTTCCTCTGTTGTAGTGGAAACCCCTTGAAGGCAGACATCTTGCTTGTCCATTTGTTTCTCAAATGGGTGACCAAGACATGGAAGATATGTGATACCTTTTCTTTTAAATGATGAACGTGTAAGCAAATGAGCCAAACTAGATTTTGGTGTTAGTCCTTAGCTGACCGACCACAGCACCACGGTTGCAGTGGAGAGCAGAGCAAACTCTCCGACTGATGGACGTTTGAGATTTAGGATTCTTGGGCAGCTCAGGTCTGAACCTCAGGCTCCACGCCCTCTGCTGCCGATGAACTTACCTTTGGATCTGCCCGCTGCTCACCAGCTTTCCCCTGAGTATAGAAACCCTTCTCTCTGGTTTAGACTAAAAACATATGTCTGTGGCTGTATGAGAAATGTTTACTTGAAGTAAATTTATCAGGAGTTGGTGAATAGCAATTTCTCAAGTTAATAGTAGTCTTCATCTCAGTATAGTAATTACAAAGTTGGAATTAGGCCAGGGAATCCAGGGATACTCCCACTCCTTCAGGCAGGGGAAAGGAGTTCTTTTGTGATCACAGATGATCAGGGTATGAAGTCAAACCTGTCTCAAATGTCGGCCCAGATACCCTTCGCGCGAAGGTGCCTTCTTAGCTTTTTCCTTTAGAATTGGCTCAGGTCTGATTCAACAAGCAAATAAATCATGTACCACCACCTACACTGTTGTGTTTCCCCTAAAGGTGTATTGTGATTACTTGCTAGCCTGGCTCTGCTTGAGTTATAAAACCTGACAGAAGTCATAGTTTAGAATCTGCTCCAGGCTAGCCATAAAAACATTATTTTCATGTACTGTATCTA